AGAGCGAGACTATCTGAAAAATACAAAAAACACATTTGGAAGACTGATGGCTGGGCATGGTGTCTCACACCTGTAATTCCAACACTTTGGGAGGCTGAAGCAGGCAGATTACCTGAGCCCAGGAGTGCAGGTCCAGCCTGGGCAACAAAGGCAATCCCCGTCTCAACAAAAAATATTTATACTAAAAATTTAGCCGGGCGTGGTCATGCACGTCTGTAGTCTCAGCTACTTGGGAGGCTGAGGCGAGTGGTTCACTTGAGTCTGGATGTTGAAGTGAGCCGTGATTGCACCAGTGCACTCCAGCCTGGGCATTAAAATGAGACCCTGTCTCAAAAAACAAAACAAAGAGACTGGAGAATTACTAAAAAAAGGACACAAGAGCTCAAAAAATATACCATTCTGGGAGGTTTTTTGTTGTTGTTGTTTTTGAGATGGAGTTTCGCTCTTGTCACCCAGGCTAGAGTGCAGTGGCACCATCTCCTCTCACTGTAGCTCTGCCTTCCAGGTTCAAGCAGTTCTCCTGCCTCAGACTTCTGAGTAGCTGAGATTACAGACGTTGGTCACCATGCCCGGCTAATTTTTGTATTTTTAGTAGAGACGGGGTTTCCCCACATTGGCCAGGCTGGTCTTGAACTCCTGATCTCAGGTGATCTGCCTGCCTCAGCCTCCCAAAATGCTGGGACCACAGGCGTGAGCCAATGCACCTGGCTTTTTTTTTTTTTTTTTGAGACAGAGTCTCGCTGTGTCGTCCAGACTGGAGTGCAGTGGTGCAATCTCGGCTCACTGCAAGCTCCGCCTCCCGGGTTCATGCCATTCTCCCGCCTCAGCCTCCGAGTAGCTGGGACTACAGGCGCCCACCACCACGCCAGGCTAGTTTTTTGTATTTTTAGTAGAGACGGGGTTTCACCATGTTAGCCAGGATGGTCTCGATCTCCTGACCTCGTGATCCACCCGCCTCAGCCTCCCAAAGTGCTGGGATTACAGGCTTGAGCCACCGTGCCCGGCCAACACCTGGCTTTTTTTTTGACATAGAATCTTGCTCTGTTGCCCAGGCTGGAGTACAGTAGTACAATCTTGGCTCACTGCAACCTCTGCCTCCCAGCTTCAAGCGATTCTCCTGCCTCTGCCTCCTAAGTAGCTGGGATTACAGGTGCCCGCCACCACACACGGCTAATTTTTGTATTTTTGGTAGAGATGGGGTTTTGCCATTTTGGCCAGTCTGGTCTTGAACTCCTGACCTCAGGTGATCCATCCACCTAGGCCTCCCAAAGTGCTGGGATTACAGGCATGAGCCATCCCTCCTGGCCTGGGAGTTTTGACTAAGTTTGTAGCTGTATACTTTAGGCCCTAAGGGCATTACTGTTTTATAGCACAATGTAGTTAATTAATGTGCTCATAATGGTGACTCATAACGCCAGGTTAAATGATTTTTTTATATCTCCCAGAGAAGTATTTTTCAATCGGCGGGTCATGACCCCTTAGTAGATTGTGAAATTACATTAGTGGATTATGACAAGCATTTTTAGAAAAATGAATAGGAAGTGTTAGGACACACTGCATTATTGAAATAATTGTTTTTGAGATGGCGTTTCACTCTTAGTTGCCGAGGCTGGAGTGCAGTGGCCCAATCTGCCTCCTGGATTCAAGCAGTTCTCCTGCCTCAGCCTCCTGATTAGCTGGGATTACAGACATGGGCCACCATGCCTGGCTAATTTTGTAGTTTAGTAGAGACAGGGTTTCTCCTTGTTGGTCAGGCTGGTCTCGAACTCCGGACCTCAGGTGATCCGCCTTCCTCGGCCTCCCAAAGTGCTGGGATTACAGGCGTGAGCTATCACACCTGACCTAATTTTTGTATTTTTAGTAGAGATGGGATTTCACCATGTTGGCCAGGATGGTCTTGATCTCTTGACCTTGTAATCCACCTGCCTCGGCTTCCCAAAGTGCTGGGATTACAGGTGTGAGCCACTGCGCCCAGCTGCCAAGAATTGTTTTAAGCTTTGGTTTGAGTGAATGTATATATACTGCATTGTAATTCAAAATGTAGTTTTTGGCCAACTCTAGGCACATTGCCTATGGACTAGTCCTGCTCTGCCTTGAGCAGCAATGGTTCAATTAATTTTTTTTTTTTTCTTTTTTTTGAGACAGGGTCTTTGTCACCAAGGCTAGAATGCAGTGGTGCAGTCTCGGCTCACTGCAACCTCTGTCTCCTGGGCTCAAGCGATCCTCCCACCTCAGCCTCCTGAGTGACTGGGACTACAGGAGCACGGCCCCATGCCTGGCTAATTTTTGTATTTTTTGTAGAGATGGGGTTTTGCCATGTTGTTCAGGCTGGTCTTGAACTCTGGAGCTCAGGTGATCCACCCACTTTGGCGTTCAGAAATGCTGGAATTACAGGGATGTGCCACCGCACCTAGCCCAAAATTTTTTAAAGTAATTTTTTATTGATACAGTCAGAAAGTTACTGCTTTAGAGCCACAGAAATGCAGTTAAAGGTTTGAGGAAGAGTTTTGAGGTTATATCTAAGCTAGGGTTGTCAGATTTGGCAAATAAAAATACAAGACACTCAGTTAAATTTGAATTTTTGATGAACATTGACTAATTTTTTAGTATAATTGTGTATCAAATTGCATAGAATAAAGTTATCTAAAGTTGAAATTTAACTGAGCATCTTGTATTTTATCTGGCAGCTCCAGTCTAAGCTGGAATCATGGCTCACTCTTTTTTTTTTTTTTTTTTCCAGTCGTAGTCTTGCTGTGTTGCCCAGGCTGGAGTGCAATGGTGTGATCTTGGCTCACTGCAACCTCAGCCTCCTGGATTCAAGTGATTCTCCTGCCTCAGTCTCCCAAATAGTTGGGATTACAGGCACCCACCACCATGCCCAGCTAATTTTTGTGTTTTTAGTAGAGACAGGGTTTTGCCATGTTGTTCAGGCTGGTCTTGAACTCCTGACCTCAGGTGGTCCGCCCGCCTCGGCCTCCCAACGTGTTGGGATTACAGGCATCAGCTACCGCTCCCGGCCATGGTTCACTCTTTAGTAATTAAATTTAAGTTCTATGAAAGCAGGAACTTTGTTTTATTCACTATTGATTGTATCCCTGTTTCTTGGATGGTTGGCACTTACTACTTGGTCAGAAGTTTGAATGGGCAAGTTACTCAGCCACTCTCAGGCTTAGTTTATTTATTAAAAGAGAAAGAATTCCTTCCTTGGCTGGGCACGGTGTCTCATGCCTGTAATCCCAGCACTTTGGGAGGCCGTGGCGGGCGGATCATGAGGTCAGGAGATCAAGACCAACCTGGCCAACATGGTGAAAACTCATCTCTACTAAAATACAAAAAATTAGCTGCGCGTGGTGGTATGCATCTGTAGTCCCGGCTACTTGGGAGGCTGAGGCAGGGGAATCGCTTGAACCCAGGAGGTGGAGGTTGCAGTGAGCCGAGATGGCGCCACTGCACTCCAGCCTGGGTGACAGAGCGAGTCTCTGTCTTGAAAAAAAAAAAAACAAGAAGGGAAACAATACCTTCTTTATAAAGTGAGATACTAAAATCTTAATATTTTCTGTTTTTATGTATTCATTTTTTGAGATGGGATCTTGCTTTATTGCCCAGGTTGGAGTACAGTATTGCGATCATGGCTTATTGCAGCCTCAAGTGATCCTCCCGTCTCAGCCTCCTGAGTAGCTGGGACCACAGGCACATGCACCATTACACCCTTCAATTTTTTTTTTGTTTTCTTGTTTTGTTTTGGAGACACTGTCTCGCTCTGTCACCCAGGCTGGAGTGCGGTGGTGTAATTTCTGCTCACTCCAACCTCCACCTCCCGAGTTCAAGCAGTTCTCATGCTTCATCCTCCTGAGTAGCTTGGTAACACATGCGTGCACCATCATGCCTGGTTAATTTTTTGTATTTTTAGTAGAGACAGGGTCTTACCATGTTGCCCAGGTTGGCCTCAAACTCTTGAGCTCAAGTGATTTGCCTGCCTTGGCCTCCCAAAGTGCTGCTCCCTACAATTTAAAAAATTTTTTGTGGAGACAGTCTCACTGTTACCCAGGCTGGTTTTGAACTTCTGCCCTCAAGTAGTCCTCTTGCCTTGGCCTCCCAAAGTGTTGGGGTTAAGGCTGTGAGCCAGCACACTCAGCCTAGATTATTCTTATGTTCTGTTCTTGGCACATAGTAGATGTTCAACAATGTAGAGTCAAACACATTTGGAGTTGAAATGACTCTGGTGTTTGTTTTGTTTTGTTTTTTAACCAGAAACACGAGCACTTTATTGAATGCCATTGTAGAAAAGTGTGTGAGGATAAAGGGCTGATACAGGACTTGGCTTTGGGGGCAGGGCGAGGAATGGAAGGTGGAGTACGTGGGATTCAGATCATGGGCAGAGCTCCTGGCCTAGATGATGCCTCCTGATCTATTGATAGACATGAAAGATCAACACTAGGATGATGATGAGCAGAATGGTCATGATGATGTGCACAGTCAGGTCCCAGATGTTCAGGCACTTGGCGGTGGAGGTGTAGGCCTGGGCCCTGGTCAGGTCGCCAACCATTTTCCTGTCCCTAGACTTCACAGAGTAGACCAGTGCTATGAAGCCCAGGCAGCAGGAGTTCATGAAGTAGGTGTTGAACAGGGACCAGACAACATGGTCAGGCATGGAGTTCTCGCTGTGGATGTAGATCATCATGGTGGACATCAGGGGAGCATGGTTGTGGGGCACCCCCAGCACAGCCACCTCTTGCTCCTCCTTGAGCATCTCATAGTTAGGGGGATGGCCGATGATGGTGGGAGTGAAGAGGTTTGGACAGTGTGGTTCATGGTATCCAGGGAAGACCAGCTGTGGTCGGGTTGCTGGGCTGGTTCTCAGTGGGCCCCTCCCTTTGCCTGATAGTTTGGATTTCTCTGGCTCTGGTGGTTTTTTAGTACTCGTTCTATTTACAGGTGAAGAAATTGAGACCAAGAGGGTTATTTGCCAGAGTGTCTCATCATTGGCTGCATAACTGACATTAGAATCTGATGTACTTCTATTTCTAATACATTGCTTTTTTTTTTTTTTTTTTTTTTTTTTTGAGATGGAGTCTCGCTCTGTTGCCGAGACTGGAGTGCCGTGGTGCAATCTTGACTCATTGCAACCTCCCTCTCCCAGGTTCAAGCTATTCCCCTGTCTTAGCCTCCCAAGTAGCTGGTACTACAGGCGCCTGCCACCATGGTCAGCTAAGTTTTGTATTTTAGTAGAGACGGGGTATCAACATGTTGGCCAGGCTGGTCTCGAACTCATGACCTTAGGTGATCCACCTGCCTCGGCCTCCCAAAGTGCTGGGATTACAGGCATGAGCCACCACGCCTGGCCTTTCACTGTCATTTTTCTTTTTCTTCATCCTTCCTTTCCTTTCTTCTTTTCTCCCCTCCCCGCTGCCTCCTCCCCTCCTTCCCTCCCCCCCCTTCCTTCCT